GAGGAGGTACTAGGGATTGAACCTGGGACCTTGTGCATGCTAGGCATGTGCTCTATACCACTTGAGCTACGCTCTCCCCACTGTTTATCTACTTTATATAGTACACGAACACCTGTCTTTTAAATTGGTGTCCTCTTTCCCCATCCTCCTGGCATCCCTGCTCAGGGCATCCCAGGCAGCGCCCTACCTCCAATCCTCATCAGTCCTCGACTCCTCCTGCTGTCCTGACTTCCAGTCTGCATCCTGCTCTATCTCCATCTTTTTCGCGTCCTGCCTGCCTGCTTGCTTGTCATGCCTTTTCCTTCCCCGTCCCTCTCTCAGAACAGTTTCTCTTTGGCCCCTTTGTCTTTGCAAGTGCTGCTCCTTCTTTCTGAAATCTTTTTCTTCCCTCCAGGTCATCCTTCAAACCTCAGCTGTCATATCCTGCTAGTCTTCTCCCTGTTCAGCCCTCCTGTGTACTTCACAGCACATCTGCTGCGTCTAGGATGGACTTTATCATCCATAGCCACATTCCTGGCTGAGTCCTTCCTGGCTTGTGAGCTCACTGAGGGGAATGGATTTTATATATATGTGTGTCCTAGCATATAGCGGGTGCTCAGTAGTGGGTGGAGAACAAACAGACTTCAGAAATAGGCAAATACACTCTGCTTATGAGAGATGCAAACAAAAGCAGGAAATAGGAAAGTCTGTTCACTGACCTGGCACCCGAAATTGACACTGTATATAACAGTGCCAGGGATCAGAAATGTGAAACCAGAGCAAAATATTCATTTCTAAATATTTTGGAGGAGTTTTGATGGTTAGATACAGCAACTTTGGCAGTCTGGCTAAAAAAGTCTATTTTGTTCATTAAAATTGATTTCTTTTTTGCTCCCATTAACTCTTTTTCCATTTTCTGAACCTATCCTTTACGATCATAATCTTTTTTATGATCATAAGTCTTATGATTTCTCTTATAAGAGACAAATGTAAGATTATGCAAAGTACAGACCCCTTGGTTTGCTTTCAGAGAATAAGCGAATAAGCGAAAAAGGTTTTCTTTCCCAAGAAGTCACGTATTTGCCCTTTTGTCAGCAGAGAGCCACATTTATTAATAATTCTTTGTTAACTATGTGATTGCCTGTGATTTAGTTTGCATAATTATAGAATTTTCTGTATAAACAAATTCACATAAAGAAATACAATAATTACTTTAAAAAATATTCTGTTAAACCTTAATGCCTTGACCTGAAGTTTTTAAGAAATAGTCTATAAAAATGCCTTATACTCTGAGAGTGTAGACTATCTCATAAACGCTTACAGAGTAAATAACTTTATTATCTAATTAGACTTAATCTGTCCTGGGCTGACAAACGATGATACCACCGCTCACTGAATAACATTTGCAGCAACGTGGATGGACCTAGAGAAGATTATGCTTAGTGAAAAAAGTCAAAGAAAAGCAAATACTTATATGTAGAATCTAATATCACTTGTATGTAGAATCTGAAAAACAATACAAATGAAAGTATATAGCAAAACAGAAATGGACTCAACAGATAAAGAAAACGAAACAAGTGGTTAACCAAAGGGGAGAGGGAAGGAGAGAGCACAAACTAGGGATACGGGATTAAGACATACAAACTACTATGTATAAAATGATAAGGAACAAGGACATCTTGTACAGCACAGGGAATTATAGCCATTATCTTGTAATAACTTTGAATGGAGTATAATCTGCAAAAATACTGAATCACTATGCTGTACACCTGAAACTAATACAATATTGTGAACCAACTGTACTTCAGTAAAGAAGGAGTAACTGGATCTTTCTGATCCATCCTACTAGAAGACAATCTGCAATCCAGGGGGCAATGCTACGTATATTAATTTGCTCCAAGGTGGAAAACGTCACAGTTATTTCACAAATGCCAAAGACAAAAATAACATAACGCACAACAGAACAACATAACTTTGCATGGGGATGCCAGTAAGTCCCTTGTGTGATAACTGCAGCCAGCAGGGGAGAGGATGGCTCTCTCCTGATTTAAAGCTCTGAACCTCTTGCACCTGTTATGAAGAAAATGACCTGCTTTGATATGAGATGTGAAGTTCCCCTCTTCACCTGCTGTGACATTGAAGTCTGTCCCTTACCCATTGTTTAGTCTCCAAATCGTGAAGGAAGCCAGTTTGAGGGTTTTCAGAGACAACGTCCTCCTCATCCGATCTGTCCAAGGTGGGGTCCGTTCTGGTGAATTCCCTCAGCAAACTGTAAGTCACACAATAGAAAGAGATGCCGTTATTCTGCCTTCAGTCTGCAGGTCAGGCCTGCCCTAAACGTTTCTAGAGCGAGAACACTGGGATCTTTCTGGCCCCAGAGAGCACCTGCTACTCTTGTACTGATTTTATTCTGTGTGAATGATGTCTGGCACGCTGTGCATTGTACAAGACAGAAACAGGGAGGCTGGATAAATACTTGTTGACTGAATCCATAAATGATGCAACAGCGAGCGTCTGCATCCTAAAGTCATTGCAGCTCCGTGTGTGTGTGTATGTGCAAATGTGTGTATAAAATAAACAAATAATAAATAAATACGTTTCTTTTTAAAGTACAGTTTAAAAGCATCACATGTTTCAAAGGAAAGGAGAAAATGAGTGATATATCTTGATGGCTAGCCCCCAGGTGTCCTCTTCTCAACAGTTACTAGTTTCTTTTTTATTCTTCCACAGAGATTCTGTGCGTAAATAAGCAGCTACATTTATTAAATATATACATGCCTTTTTACATATAAATGAGAGGCTATTATACACGTTTTATGTACCTTGTTTTTCTCTTTGACAACCTATCGTGAAGTCTAATTCGTATCAGTACATATAGAGCTTGCTCATTTTAAAAATGGTTGTATGGGATTCCATTGTAAGGCGATTAGCATAATTTGCTGATCAGTTCTTTATTAATGTTTATGTACATTGCTTCTAATCAATTGCTACTGCAAACAACGCTGTGATGAATATCCCTACATGTCTATGTGTATGTGTAGAAGAATCCACTGGGTAAGCCTAAAAGGAGAATTCCCAGGTCAATAGATCAAAATATATTTAAAATTTTGATAGATTTTACCGAAGTATGCTTTCAGGAGGTTAAAGTCACTTATGCTTGTAGCAAAGGTGATGCGAGTGCCTGTTTCCCTGCTCCTCCTCTAAAACCACGTATCAGCAGAGGTTTTGACCTTTGCCAATCTAGTGCATGTCGACAGGTATCTCATTGTAGTTTTCATCTCCTTTTATGAGTGAGGTTGAGCGGCTTTGCCTGTGCAGACAAAACTCATGTGTATTTCTTTTTCTAAGGCAATTGTGTTGATACAATCCCTTTCCCACTCCCTGTTGGGCTATTGTTGTTTTCCTGGGTGTGTATAGATGTGCACACACATGCTCACATGTACTTTTGAATGAATCACAGTAGGTTTGCAACAGGCGCCCACAGCAGTGGTTTCCTACCCGTGCCTTGAACCCTGAGTTTGGGGCGGGCTCTACACCTACTCTGCATAGAAAGCGGTCCTGCAATCTATGTACACTTCTATCGATGAAATAAATACTGCTGAAAGTTTCCAAATATATATGCTACTGTTATTAATAAATTATAAGTGCACTTAAAAACATCTTTGATATCATAGCTTTTTTGACATATGAGGGGCTCTGGAAAAATCTTTTACTTTGATTTCTTCCTTTTTAAAAAGGTTGTCAACCATTGGTTTTTATTAGTATACATTCCTATCATGTAGTAACCTATGTATTTGTGTATTTATATGAATATCTGTGCTTCCTCTATTCTAGAAACTGTGTTAAATGGTTTGTATCTTTAGCAAGTGAAGATAATGAAGGCACAAAACAATCAACAATTTTCACAAATTGAGATGAAAATCTCGATCATTCCTATTCAGCTGATATCTGCCTGGTTTACGACCATAGGTCCCTTTGGTGTCTCATAGGACGTACCACACTAGATAATCATAAAGTCAAAATTAGAAGAATTTTGGTGAAGAATGTCAGCCCCGACCCTGAACTTGGCGATCTCATCATTTGTGTCCTACCAGCCTGAGGAAGTCTCCAGACAGGGCCCCAGAAACTGCCCCTGGGAGCTCAGCTCTGACTCACTTCTGCCTCGCACCTTCAGCCGCGTCGATATTTTGGAGAAAGCCTTTGTTTTTCTCTGTCAACTCCTGTTGCTTCACAACTGCCTTCATCTGCGGAGGCTTCTTGTCGCTTATCTTGGTGAGAGCCATTTCTCCAGCACTGCAGGGGCAATGGTAGATCTCTATTTGTAAATTCATGTTTGTTTTATTCTTTTCCTACTCTTGATGATGATTTCTAATTTTTCACTATTATAAACACTCTACTAATGAATATCCCTGTTTAGTAATTTTCAGCGCATCTCTATTACTTAGAATCCTTCCCTAGAAATGGGACTACTGGGAATATGATATACAGATTTTTTAAGGCTTGGGGGAAATCTTACCAAATTACTTTCTTAAAGGTTCAACCAACATATACCAGCAGCAGCTGTGCATGAGAAGGGGAACCTTGATTCCAGCCTGATAGGCAAGTGTTAGATGGAGAGCAGAGAATTGAATTAAGAGTATTTAAGTAGTGAGAAAAAGAATAGTGAAGGGAAATAGGGAAGAAGGTAGAAAAGGATGCGACAGGTTCTAGGAAGCTCGTATGAGAAGCCAGTAAGAAAGGATTCACGCAAAATGTTAACTCCTAGTAACTAGCAGAGGTCAGAAGGGTTGCACCCAGCCCCGACCGGGAGGAAACTGTCTCCTCTGTGTACTCAAGTCAGTGACTGTAGTCAGTTGTCACTGGGGGGTGGTCTGGCCCCTAGGACCCAAGGGACAGAGGGGACCACAGACTGACAGGAGGGGAAGTGACAGCAGGGATTTTCCTAGTGGAGCGATTTATGGCTGTGATTAGGAACAGACAGAAGCAGGAGAGAGCTGCTGGGAACCACAGAGATACTGGAATCAGCTGAGCAACCACGGGTCTGCTCTCTCACTCTGTGGCAAAATTGAGCTTTATCCTTAACCTGTGTGGAGATCCACAGTGGATGTGGTGCAAAGGCAACTCCCATGAAGGAGGAGCAACAGGAAAAGCCTAGAACCTTGAGTGCAACAAAGAAGAATAAACCTCTGATCTCTTTCAGGAAGGACAGACCTTCCCCATCTCGTCACAACTCCCATCTGGACAGTTCTGTCTGTTTCCTGAACGTGGTAAGCATTACCAAGGCAATTCCAGGCTCTGAAAGATGAATGGCCACTGAGATCTGCTTAGTTTCATGGCCCTTTCCTGTCCAAAAAATATAGAAATCTGAACAAATGATAAGATTTCCTTATTTTGGTAACTCTTTGACATCCCGATGGCTTCCATGGGGTGATTTAAAGGAAAATCTGTTTCCTCTCAGTTCAAGTACCTACAAAAATTCTGCCTCCGTACATTTTCTCATATTTCAAATAACCGAGTCCTAACGATGGTTTATGTGCATGCAGCTCCTAAGGGATGACAAAGTACCTTTTACATATTTTCTTATTCCGTTCCCACAACAACAAAGTGAGGAAGGGGTTAGCCTCATTTTCTGTGTGCAGTGACCGAGGCTCTGGGAAATGGTGTGATTTACTTAGAATCGTATAGCGAAGCCAGGACCCAGAACTCCCATGTCCTCATAGCTACTCGTAAGGGATTCCTCCCTAGTCCCATAGATGATCCAGGCCAAGGCTCTCCAATAAACTCTGTGTGATGCTGGAAATGTTCTCGACCCTATTCAGTTCAGTAGCACCAGCCACCTGTGTCTCTTGAGCACTTGAGATGTGGCTAATGCAACGGAGGAATTTAATTGAAATACACTGAAATTTAAACAGCCACATGGGGCTGGTGGCTACCGTATTGGACAGCTCAGAATTTTCTAGACCAGGGATTAGCAAACTAGAGTCTGCAGGCCAAACTCATCCTGCCGCCTGTTTCTGTAAATAACATTTCGTTGGAACACAGCCACACCCACTCCGTCATGTACTGTCTGTGACTGCCTTTGCGCTGCACAGACGGAGGGGAATGGTTGCAAAAGAGACCTTGATTTAGCATGCAGAGCCTAAAATATTTACTAAAAACAAATTACCAATCTCTGTTTTAGACCATCACCTTTTTCTATGATGTTTGCTACAGAGAACAAACTGAATACAGCAGGTAAGAGCTCAGATTTTGCAGAGTCAGGCTGAGTTCATACCACGGCATTAACACTTGGCAGCTGGGCACAATCTTCAGGTTCTAGGTCTTACCTTTCTCATCTATAGAATGAGGCTTAACACAGGGTCAGATAGACGCAAACACTTGGCAATGCTATGTATCTATTAGTAATAAAAATAGTAGAAATGGGAACTATTGTAAGGTTTCTTTAGCTCCAAAAATTACAATAATAATAATAATAATAATAATAATAATAATAATAATATGCTTACACATGTGCAGCAGCTTCAGTTTATAATGCACTTTCACTAAGTTGTTTCTCTGATTCTCACATCTCCCCTGTGTGGTCAGTCAACAAGGGAAGTCTTATTACCTCTATTTTTTTAGATGCAGAAACAGACACTCAGAGATGATCCATGATTTGCCCAAAGTTTTATTTGCTAAAAAAGGGTAGAAACAGGATCTCAACCTGCAAATTCTGGCTGCAGGTTTGGCAGCCATCCTCCTATTATGCATGCATTTGATGCCCCGTATGTTTTCATGGATCCATTAGTAGCCTTCTGACCTCAAAAGAAGCATCTTTCGAAGCTAACCTTTGGTAGTTCTGTTGTGTGGGTTCTTGCTACTCAAAATGTGGTCAGGAAATCAGCAGCATCCATATCAGCTGGGCACTTGCTAAACATACAGAACCTCAGGTCCCACCCAGACCCACTGACTCAGTGCCTGCATTTTCACCAGATCCCGGGTGATTCCTATTCGGCTTCTTTTGGAAGGACTCGTACTCTAGACCTTGTGAACTAGAATCCCTCTTCTCCCTCCTAACCCCTATCTCACTCCTGTGTGTTGTCCACTCCTGGCCTCTAGGACTGCGTGGCACAGCTGGAATGAATCCCTCCCTCCTGCCCGCCACCTCATCCGAACCTTTAAAATGACAAGTTTGGAGAAGCATTGGTCAAAAGGAACAGATCAACTGTTTTTTTTTAAAAAAAAAAAAAAGCCCACGAAATCTCTAACTTCCATTCGGTGGGCATTTTCTCCAGGCCAAACCACCCAGATGACCTGCTAGCTGGACAATTTGGGATCTCAGAAATCTTAGAACAGGGTTCCAATAATCAGGGACTCGGTGTCACCCCGGCCCTGGCAAGTTTATAACGAGCTGGTATGGCTCGGAAATCATATGTACCTGGTGGTATCCTTTCTCCTCCCAGTTTGGTGGTCACAGATTCTTCTAAGTTCAGTGGGGTAGACCAGCAACAGTCAAGCTTCCCTGGAAAGTTCTGGTGATGGCAGGTCCTCCTCTCCCCCCGCCAATGGCAGAGAGGAGGCCATTTACGAGGGTGCGCATGTAGGCGGTGAGTTTGCAGTTGGGCTGGCCCTCTCTGACATTCTACTTGGAATGCGACACCTGTGACCCTTCAACCCCCTCTCACGAGATTCCAGGCATGCTCCTGCTTTTC